CTGTTATTTTTCATTGCTTTTATGTCCTTATGGGTTTGTGTTTGTATGCTGTTTTAAAATACTGTTAACTGCCCAGGATCACGAATTTGAAATGGGCAGCCATGTAAATGGAAGTAAATAAGTAAGCAACTGGAAAGATACAGCATCAAAAGGAGTAAATAGGTGCTGAGGAGATATCATTCTTATCATCATTGTAAAGTGACATAGACCATACATATAGAAAGCTTAGTGTTAGAAAAAAGATATCATACCTTATACATGGAACAGAAAAAATAAGGTCAGCTGGCTTCAGTTATAGGTTAGGAATGAAAAGAGGGATGCGTTTTTCAAGAATGTTTGGCTGGGAGTGAATCTGTAGATGACCCAAAACTGGGGGAGATAGCTAAAATGTCAGAAGATAGGTTCAAAACGAATTTGAAAGATTTGACTGTTGCATTCTGTGGCAAGAAAGGAAGGGCTCTGCATTTAGACAGGAAAAATTGGATGTAAAGATACATCTGGTTACGTGATACCTGGTTCTCAATAGTACCTGTGAAAGGAATCTAGATGCCCAAAGGGTCAACACAAACTTAGGCTGCATTGGTAGAGGTGTAATATCAAGATCACAGAAAGTGGTAATTCTGCTTTTATGCTGCATTGGTCAGATTGCAGCTAGATTATTGTATCCAGTTTTGGTTACCACAATACAAGGAAGTCAGGGAGCTGGAAATAATGCAGAGAAGACCTACAATGATGATGGTGGATCTGGAGACAAACTTTTATGAACAACAGTTAAAAGAACTGGATAGCTTTAGCCTAACCCTAATTTTAAGGCTAAGGAAATTATAACCATCTCCAAGTATTTGAAGGGTTGTCATAGGGAAGAATTTGTGGATTTATTCTCTGCAATCCCCAAGAATAAGGCAAGAATCAATGGGGAGAAGTTTCTGAGAAGGGAGTCCAAGCTTGAAATACTTTCTCATAGAATTACATATATTCCTCAAGTTACAACCACTTATTCAGTAACTTTCAAATTATGATTGTGCTAAATAAGGGAAATTTATGATCAGTCTGTAAAGTTGCAGCTGTCATAGTGCCTCATGGCCCCTCATGAAAAACTTAAAAATACCTACTATATCCAACTGCCATGCTGAAAATATTGCTCCAAATGATCTGGAGGGCACTGAGCAGAAAAGATGTTGTAGTATGGAAGAGGAATTTTTTAGACTGGAGAATACATTAAGAAGCAGTATATTTGCCTCATAAATGAATGTTCCTAGGAACTGAAAGAGCTTCAGTCATAACAATCAGAGGATGATATTCCTTATTTACTAAACAATATACGGCTCTACAAAAAGTCCTGATATTTTAACCTTCATCTGAGTCACTACTAGGCAAAAAGCTAGAACACGAGTCAAAACTAGGGGTCAGGTCATTCGCATCGTTATTTAGCCTTTCACTGATATTCCAGTTGCATTCAAGAAAATCCTTCACAAGGAATTCATTAGTGAAGCACACTGCAAAAATGGTTGTGGTCCAGCTAAACAATTAATATTTCGTTATCTCACATCTCAGCCAACTGCCCACAAAAACCAAAACATGGCAATGAAGAAAACTGAGCTCAAACAGGAAAATTTACTGGAGAGATTAGACTGAGGCTAAGAGATGTTTAAATCCTGGCTCATTCATCACAATTACCATTCAGCTGTCTTACCTAACTCACAAGATTGTTGTGTTGATAAACTGGGAATGAAAGAGCACCTTAGCTTAAAAAGAAAAGATGGAAAAACGTCAAACATTTTATTTAAAAATATCAAAGCCTCATAGATTTCCCTACAATTCAATGCTAATTTCAATTTTTTAGAATCTGTTATTGGAATAAAAATGAAGTCCTATAAACACATATTTGAAAATAAATTCTACTGAAGCCAGAGGAAATGTATTTGCACAGATGTATGCATTGCACTGGGATACATATGTCATAATATATTTCTCATTGGTTAAAAAATAATTTTTTCCCATATGTCTAACTTGAGTTCTGGTTACCACATAATAAACAGCTTCTTTGGTGTGGCAGTTAAGGCATCAGGCTAGAAACAGAGAGAACGTTGAGTTCTAGTCTTACCTTGTGCATATGAAGCCCCCTGGGTGACTTGGGCCACTCACTCACTCTCAACTCTAGGAAGGAGGCAATGGCAAACCACATCTGAAAAACCTTGCTAACAAAATTACAGGATTCCAAGACAACTGCAGGCTCTGAAAATTAGGTATAATTGAATGGAAGGGGAAAAACCCAAATTCTATGCATACAGTATATGTTGTTTAGAGGTTATGGGGTAACATAGGAGTTAGTGGTATGCAATACAATGCAGACCAGACTGAACTACAGATCAAACAGCCCATCAACCATGCTAGTGGAGGTGGAAATCCACAATATCTGGAGATTACTGAGTTGCTTGCTTCAGTCATACTATTCTGCAAGACACTTGAAAAGAGATTCAATTACACTACTAACTCTAGCTGAACTTCATTCAACTGTTCAGTTACTCCCTCTACAAAATTCAGAAATATGTCTGTTATTTTTTTGTGTTTTAAAAGTCGGTCTCATCAGATGTTGCCAAGCCCAATTTGATTACTATGGTGCCATCGTAATTATGTCAATTTCCACTTTTTCTGTTAAAATGTAAATGGAGCTGCTCAAAAAACCTGAAGTAGATCTTACAGGATATTAAACCTACTTTGCAATCAGACTAAGGAAAACCTTCAGAAAATGTTCTTTCTCCTGCCAATTTCACACAAACATCAGACAACATCAAGCTGGCACGCTAGAAAAGCAATTTTCTTTCAATTGTAAAGTGCAGACACTCTTTGAAACTCTCTTTCTAGCTCAATCAAAAGAATCAGAGAAGGAAGTAAGAGTAGCAAACTCCTGTCGATACAGACCTTGGACTATTGTTTGGTTTCATAAATGGATCACGTAACACATTTGTTTTTCTTTCTGATGTTTTCTCCAGTGTTTGTGTTTCTGCTAAATCTGACCCCTTATGTAATGCTGTATACCGATGACTGATATGTTTTCAGTGCTTTATATAGAGAATAGTGGGTTTTTAGTGTGCTTTATACACAGAATATTGGACTAGAATTTGCCTGACAATCTCGGACAACTGCAACACATTTCAGAAAGTCCAGTCTCCTCTGAAATCTATTATTCTTAATAGTGTTCGATATTTAATGCCATTTCTGATTTAAGGGAAAGGATTTCAAGTACTAACCCACGTGTTTGGAAGTACTAAACAAACAAAACCTAAATACACAAAACTCATGTTTGCTGACAAAGTAGTACTTTTCTTTCATTTCTCTCTCATCCCCGCTCCTTTTGGCATCATTTTAAGTATTTACACATGAGGCTACCAAGAATACTAAAACAAAATCTTGTCACTTCTCTGATGAAAGTATCTTGTCTGAAATTTAACACAGTTAAAAAGATTTAATCCCAAACTTGGAAAATCTGCTTTTCTTGACAATCACTGATGCTTCTGTTTGTGGCATCCAGTACTTCTTTTCTTTCTTAACAATTCAAGACAAGGCTTTAAGAACTGTACTTTTAATCACAGGGCTTCTCTGTTAGGCCAAAAGATTAGGGGTGCGTGTGAAATGGGATAGCAGATTGTTTGGATTGTTTTGGAAAAGCAGCAGCAGAGTGAAAACTGCTCTGGGGCCAAGTTAATTTGATTGTTCCCTTTATGCTTAAAATAGTCAGCAGATACAGCAAGTCCTCAACTTACAACAACTGAGCCCAAAATTTAGGTTGCTAAGTGAGAAATTTGCTAAGTGAGATTTGCCCTATTTAAAGATGTTTCCTGCTGCATTTGTTAAGCGAATCACTTCCATTTCTTAAATGAGTTAATACGGTTGTTAAGTGAATCTGGTTTCCCCAGTGACTTTGCTTGTCAGAAGGTCGCAAAAGGGGATCATGTGATCATACTGGGACACTGCAACCTTCAGTCAGTTGTCAAGCATCTGAATGTGAATTACATGACCACGGGGATACTGCAGCGCTCAAAAGTATGAAAAATGGTCATAAGTCACTTCTTTCAGTGCTTTGAACTTTGAATGGTAACTAATTGAACTGTTGTAAATCGAGGACTACCTGTATTTTATTGCTTGAGTAGAAGAAATGAACATTGTTACACCAAAACTAGAATCTCTCTCACGCACACACTTCTATCTCATTGGCCTCTGAAATGAGGTTGTATGATCTGAATCTTAAAACATAGTTCTATTCTGGAGGGAATCAGGGATAATTGGCAGGGAGAATCTCTATTTGCTCCAACTAGCATCTTCTCAATTGACCTTTTACCATAGAAAGTTCAATGGGACTCTACAGTATACTGCCGTCTTAACTACTGTTGTCAAACCTTGGCAAACTTTGTGGAAAAAAAAAGTTTAGTCAAGCGTGACAAATGGGAATGTAGCAGTAATTTCTCAGTTCTGAGATGGTAGTTCAGTTCACATCACATACCAAGCTTTGTCTTTCTATTTTAATGCCATGTCATAACACATCAGTACTGGTGTCATATTAATCCATTCATCCTTATTTAATTTCTACAGCTGTCCATCTCAGACAAGTGACTCTGGATGGCAATATTAAAAACAATTAAAAGCAATTATAGTAGTAGAGTACAAAAATAATATATATATAGCAGATCTGGGAGGAAGTAAAAATAATAATAATTACATCACAGATTTAGGAACTAGCAACAAAGCAGCAGTATTCCCAGGGTGTCAACCAGAGGTGATATTCAGCAGGTTCTCACCAGTTCTGGAGAACCGGTAGCGGAAATTTTGAGCAGTTCTGAGAACTAGCAAATACCACTTCTGACTGGCCCCACCCCCATCTATTCTCTGCCTCCCAAGTCCCAGGTGGGTCTTCTTTTGTTGCCCTGCACAGGAGAATGGAGCTGGAAAGCAGGTTAGTGGGGTGGGGAGGGAATGGGATTTTGCAGTAACCTTCCCCTGGAGTGGGGTGGGAATGGAGATTTTACAATATCCTTCTCCTGCCACGCCCAGCAAGCCACAACCACAGAATCGGTAGTAAAAAAAAACTTGAATCCCACCACTGGTGTCAACTATGTGACCTCGGATGACAGACACATACAGTCTGTTTGATTTACCATCAGGTCTAGTTTGAAAGAAATTCAGACTCCCAAAATTTTTTAGTGGTCATACTGGAATTAGTTATATTTGTCCGTAGCTTGTCACACTATTCTCCCAAAATAGAGAGATTTAGGATATTTTTCTTTTAGAGCAGGCCACTGGACAATGAAGTAATCTGAAAAGTGGTAAAGAATTTTTCCTGACAGAGATAGGTTTTCAACACGGCAGATGCTCTCGACGTACACAATGGTTATTTTCTTTAGTCCCAGTATTTTGAGTAATAAGGCAGATAGACATATGGGAACACACGTTCCTGGGCCATTGCACAGCACCTAAAAAGGAAATAAAAGAATTCATCAAACTGTCCAGAAATCTTAAAAATATGTTAACAAGAATATATACAGTAGATATGCACAGTACAAAAAGAACTATAAAATGAATCCAGATTTAACGCAAAATACAAAGACAAGATAAAAAGGTAATGTTGACATAGGAGTAAAGCTCAAACATTGGAAAGACGCACTTTAACATTAAGTTGAAAAGGTGACTGGATTAAAGATTTAATCAATGTTCCCCATCTTGAACAAGCAGGCCAAAGCAGATTTGTAAGCCAATCAGAACTGGGATGCCTTTTATGTACTTTGGCTTAAGTGAGGGGATGATTCACTACCCCTTCTGAATAAGTCATATTGGGAAATGCAGTTTTTTTAAAAACCCAACTTTTTGGACAATCGGGAAGAGAGATACCTTATGTTTTAGTGGAAGTTACTTGAGATGAATATAGAAGCTGGGTGCAAGGTCTTGAGTTTATTTCCTCCTTGCAAACTTGATTTATTCCAGGGAATTCTCTGAGCAGCCTGAGGTTCACACTCCTTAATTGCCTGGACTTGAGGCTGGTCACTATAGCCAGAGGCCTGCTCTGATTTCCCAGTGATTTGGATAAGCAGTCTCATCTTCAAGATGGCCATATAAGCCCTCCTTCCTCGATATCCTCCTTCCTACGCTTCTTTACACTTCAGAAGCACCACCTTTCCAGGTTCCTAGGGCAGACCCCGCTTAACTGGACTTCACAGCCTGAAAGAAGTACCTGATTTTGTCTCGTCAGTTGAATCCAGATTAGACAAAGGAGCAACGAACCAATATCTACTCCCTGAACTAATCCAAATTCAACAGATCCTGTGAGTTCAGGAAGGCAAGGAGAGTACTAAGTCAACTCAGACAAAGAGATAAGTACTTAATGATAAAGACCTCATTCCTTCTCCTCCTCTTGCAAATGTCTGGAGGCCATGGTCATCATCCTTGCACTATAAAAGGAACACCTGTCTTTTTGCTTCCTTCCTCCTTTCTAATTGACTATCTGTCCTTACTTATGGTTGTCTTCTTCCACTACCTCTGACCTATTACATTTATTTCCCCCTCTTTCTCCTGAACTCCCAATCCCCCACATCCCCCAAGACAACTGTACCTCCCCTTTCTCTGGCTTCTCCAAAAAATCGTGCTTGGCTCTCTTCTTCCCTCTCTACAGCAATAAAGAACATGTATTGGATTCCCCCTTCCTGTTAAAAGTGCACCATACAAGCTGTTCCACTGTTACCCCTGCAGGGCTGTTCACTTCCACCCCTTCAATACTGCTTATTGTTTTAAATGCTATTTCCCAATGAAAGCTGTTTCCTTTCAATGCTATTTCCCTGACTGACTGTTAGTTCCCCTACTGAGTGCTTTGTGAGTGTTTTCATATTTTCATGGCATTGTCCCTTAATAGTGCTTCCTTTCAATGCCATTTCCCCCAATAAATAGTTTTCCAGTGAATATCACCTCTCCTTTTACTGCTCTTTCTCATCCTCTGAGTTCTCCACGGATGTTTTTCTTGGAATGGTTGTCTTCTCCCTTAGTAAATTCAAATCTCCTTTCTGGGGTATACGTGGTTGCCATTTCTGTGGTTCGTATTTACTCTAGAACAGAGGTGTCAAACCCGATTTCATTGAGGGCCGCATCAGGGTTGTGTTTGACCTTGGGGGGGGGGCGGGTTGGGGGGGGGCATGGCCAGCTTGACGTCACTTGTGCAATAAAATGCCAATTTTGCTAGTGGATTGTTTTGTTAGCACTCTGCCAGTGAAAACGGAGCCCAGGAGGGCTGCGCGCCTTCGCTGTTTCTAGGGTGGCTCTGCAGGCCAGATCTAAACACCCCATGGGCCAGATCTGGCCCACGAGCCTTGAGTTTGACGCCCTTACTCTAGGACATGTTGTGTTTAAGTCCCCTTTAGTTAAAAGATCTCAGCTGCATTCTGATCCCTGATGAATAGTTTCTAAATACAGGAAGTCCTTGATTTGCAACCTTTCATTTAGCGACAGTTCAAAGTTACAATTGCACTGAAAAAAGTGACCAGTCCTCACACTTACAGCTGTCACAGCATCCCCTTGATATCATGATCAAAATGGCAACTGGCATGTATTTACAATGGTTACAGCCTCCTGGGGTCATGGAATTGCCATTGGCAAACCCCCCCCAGCCTGTTTCTGACATGCAAAGTCAACAGAGGAAGCCAATTCACTAAAGACTGCTTGATTCACTTAACAACTACAGTAATTCCCTTAGAAACCATGCCCTCAAAGTCATAAAATCATTAACCACCTTCATGCTCAGCAATCGAATTCTGATTCCCAATTGTGGTTGGAAATTGAGGAGTACTTTTACACCCCACCCCCAATAAAAGAAAGAATCACAAGGAAGCTGCCCTTTATCAAAATAAACATAAAGTGATATATGGTGAGAAATTTGGGATAGGCAAAGAAATCCTATTCTGTTCCCTTATAGAAAGAAATACATTGTGAACTTAACTGAAAGGAGGAAGGTACTGTGTGTGGAAAAGGAGAAGTGGGTGGGGGCATGCAATAAAACTAATAAGATCGCTATTAGGGGCTGTAGAAAGATATAAAACAAGCCTGTGCCCAATCTTTTCTAATCACACTGCATGGTTTCGTGGCAGATGGTCAAGGTTATTATGGACTCAATGAAGAGTTTTGGGGGGAAGTGGGGGAGGGGTGAACAGATTAAAATGGAATGCCGATGTCTGCTCCTGGATTCTCTTCCCTTAATATGCAGTTGGGGTTCTCTCATAAATTCTGTGTCAGCCCTGAAGGTGGCCGAACTGTGGCCATTTTTCCTTTGTAGCGTTTCTCTAGGGAGTTTTCTTCTGACACAGCCTGGAGAGAAGGGGCCAGGGAGGAGGGTGAAGAGATAGCTGGGATGTTGTAGCCAAAATGAAATTCTTTCCTCTGGGAATCAAGGATATTGGTGCAGGTGCATAGAAGGAGGAGACTGCTGTTTGGACCATGTGATGAGTGACTCTGGAGGGGAAGTAACAAAGTTCAAGTTTTAATTGAGTGTAAAACCCCTGGGAACCTAGAGCCGGTTTTCCACCAAGAAATTGCCAATTTGACATGTTCCAATAAAATGTTCTTCGAAGAATATGCCTGCCTCAGAGTTCTTAATGCGTGGGACATATTATTTGGAACCTTGACATTCTGAAGATTTGATGGACAGCATTTCCCCACTTTTTTAAAAAAAATCTAGCCCTTCCTGAAACTTTTTACACGAGAATAATGTATCCCTCAATAGGAGCCCACGGCATGTGAATTTCTGGAACAAAAACTATCGGGAAAAACAGAACCTCAGAAGGAGTCTGGTAGCCCCTTTTCCAACTGTTGGGAAACTCCCAGCCAGTCAGGAAGGAAAGGTCAAGCAGGGAACTAGCCGTGAGTCCTTGCACAGCTATGAGAGGCATAACCTTATTTGGTTGTTCCCAGCCTGGGAAGATTCTTGCAATAGAGGCAGAACACAATATAGTTGCTGACTTGAACCTTTCACGAGTGGATCTGGTTGCTTTTGCTGACATTAACTAACAGAATGGATTGAAAGGCATAAGCTTTTATGAGCTGCAGCTTTTTTCATCCGATGATGCAGATCACAAAAAGCTTATGCCTTTTAATATATCCTTTTTAGTCAGGAAAAATATTCCCAGATGCCTGTTTTTTTTTTCCCACCACAGTCTAACACTTCTCCCCTCCTACAATGTTTTCTGACAAAAGCAGGGGAAAGCACAGGGTGCATTGGGACCATCCAAGATTTCTGTGGGAAGAGGAATTGAAAATGTGGTTAGCATGAGTCATCCATGAATTTGTTACAATTTGGCCTTAGAAAATTACATTCATAGGTCATGGGGGAGATAACTAGCCAGAAAGAAAAAAAGCAGTGGTCTGGTTTAAGTCTAACTTAGTCTCTTGTATAACAGTCTCTAATGGAAATAAATGGAAACATTTCTTGAATTCTACAGTATTTATTATTATTTTGTATGCTCAGCTGAGAATCATTTTTAACTCAACAGAGCATCTCAGAATTCTTTGTACTATTTACCCTTCCTCTACTGCATTTTCTCCTAAATATAATTACCACCAAATGACTTTCACAATCTATTCTAAGAAATAGAAACTGGCAACACCTGAGATCTTGCTCTGCAAGTATACCAACGATTCCTACCCCATCTCCACTGCCATTCTCCAGGACCTTGTCCAAATATTTTTCCAAATGACTAATGTTTTTTTTTTCTTTTCAAAGCTGAAAATCTTTTAAATAGACTAAGAAGGCACCCCAAATAATAAAGCAACACACTGTAAACATAGATATAGAAACTGCAGGTGGAAGGACTACCTGGGAAAACGAATTCTCACTCTCACACTGAAAGGAATCTTTCTTATAACACTCACTTGTAGTGACAAGTCCAGGAAGTATATAAATATAAAATAATATTCTTTGATCTTCAGGAAGATGGTCTGAAGATTGATGCAAATTTAAACTAATTAAATTTACCAGGCAATGCTCCTATTTTTAATAAAGCTTCTATATACACATGGTAAGTCTCCCTCAAGCCCAGCTTGACTTTTGGTAACAATATTGACTACATCCAGATCCTAATTCTGAATTTCAGATCCCGATTTCCTAAAATGCATTTTAAGGCACAGGCTGCTGACCCAGTGTGCAAGGAGGGTGCACAGATTGTGAAAACATCTACACACAGAGCATTATACATCGACCAGTATGTCTTCTCTTGAAGGCCTGTGTGCTTTGTGATTCACAGCATAGACCACAGGTGTGAACATTTAAAATTGCCATCCAAAATGTTAAGGGGTAAGCCTTGGGGAAAACAGGCAACCTATCTGAGAAAAAACACACACAAGAATTGAGCCATCTAAAATTCAAAAATAATTAATTACGCAACCTCCTTAAGATAGAGCAGAATTTTTTACGAATGAATGAACATCTAATGTGGTTTCT